TCATTTTAAAGAATCATATTGCTATTCCAAATAGACATTGCCTCGTATTCTGTAAATTATAATTGAAATTATTTTTTTAAAAACTCCCGATTCTAGATTTAAGAGATAAACCGCATAGTCTGAACTCTATGCAAATATTCTTTCAACCTAAAGCCTGTCTTCATCATGAATCATTGAAATTTAACTAACTAAACTCTTGTGGTTAGGGGATGAAAAGATTGATTTTTTTTTTGGGCATTTGCATTTTAAATATATGTGTTCACACATCACACCATGGCCAAAAATTAAACAAATAATAAAAATTGTGAGTTCACACCAGAAAACGCAGAAGAGACAAAGCGGGTCCCCTGTGAGAGCGGATTAGGAATTGATTAGGAGAGGGCGACTTCTGAGTTCTGACTGAAGAAGGGCTGAAGTTACCGTTGGAGCACAGGGCGATAACATCCACAGACACACTCCCGCTTTCCTTGTTAGCTCCATGACCGTTACGTGGCCCTCTCTTTGAATTACCACAAATGCCCTCGCTGTTCCCATCAACACGCCCTCCCTCAATTAATTGGCTCCGTTACCGTTGCTGCCCTTTCTCGCAATTTACCATTGACGCCTTTATTCCATTGCCTTTATTACAAGCTTGCCAACCCTTTCCCCCCCTTCAATTCCCGTACCACTGGCTCTAAATGTAAATTAATTTATAAGAAAAGTATAAGTTAATTATAATATATTTAATGCTTTTTTTTAAATTTTATCCTTATCTATTTTTATTGGAAAGAGAAAAAGAATGAAGAGATTAAAAAATAGGAGAATTGCAATTAGGTCCCACTCAAGGGAATTAAATACAAAAAGATCCCTTAAATCATAAAATTATTCTGAAGTCCCAAGGGACCTTTTTGCAATAAATTTTATTTGTTTAATTACCAAATTACCTTTTTTTTTTAAATTTGTATTGACAACTGAAAGAGCAGTGGTTGACGACTCAGGATGCAAGGATTGGCAACTATCGCGGTTGGTTTGACAACACATTTTCTCAGCATATTACACCATAAGTTGGCAAACCAGCCGCGATAGTTGCCAATCCTTGCATCTTGAGTTGTCAACCACTGCTCTTTCAGTTGTCAATGCAAACTTAAAAAAAAAAAAAGAAGGGTAATTTGGTAAGTGAATAAATAAAATTTAATGCAAAAATTTTTTTAGGACTTTAAAATAATTTCATGATTTCAAGGGACCTTTTTGTATTTAATTTTCTTGAGTGAGACCTAATTGCCATTTTCCCTAAAAAAAATTTTATGGGATGCTTGGTGAATGTAGAGAGAGAAAAAACTTTAACAAGAGTAAAATTAAAAAAAAAATGTTTCAATTTAATGCATTTCCTAACATGTAAGAATATGTTATAAGTGATTTATACGACGGAGCAGAGTGGCATTTTTTTTAAAATCATTATTGTATCACTGGCAAATTAGCACAAGATCAGGATTGCTTAGTGTTAAAAAATTCTTTAAAAACAACAATTTAATTATATTTATCAACAAAAGTATAATTTCCTTCATCTATAACATATTCTCTAAAAAATAATATTAGGATCAAAAGCAATAATTTCTTCAATTATCTTCTCAATCTCCCACTTTGACTATTACCATAAGTCTATAAATGTCCATATCCTTACCAGCATGACCCTCCCTAGCAATTGGCTGAGGCAATTTTGGACGGCGATGACTTCCCATTTTTGTTTTCTTCGGTCTTAAATTTTAATCCACATATTATTTGTAATTAAATTTTTACGAAATTATTTATTATATTAAGTTTTCTAATCATATATGACTATGCGTCTTATTTTTCAAAATATTAGTATTTATATTTAATTATAAATTCACCTGAAATATATAGTTGAAAAACTTAACATAATAGATAAAAAGAATTCCACCAAAGTTTTTTTCTTTTGATAAATCAGTGAAATTAAAACAAGCCTCATAATTTATATAGGTTCTTGTAAAATTATTCTCCAATGATATGATTCAGATTATTCTAATTATTTTTTTTTTCCTCATAGGACCATTTTCTTCCTTTGACTTTTGACCACCTCCTCGCTCTTGAAGTCTTGAGACGGAGCAGGCCAAGTAACTTGCGCTCTTGGAGGCACCTTCGCCGTCCCATGTTTCCTTTTTACTACCAAATAAAAATGTCATTTTCTTTGAATCGGTTTTATTCTTTCATATTTTCAATTTTAATGCCAAATATCTTTTCACGGATTTTTTCCTGTTTCACATCTTTATGACAAAACTTATGATCATGAAACGCTTTAACTTAAATGGCACGGCATTGGCATCCATAACTAGTTTCAAAATTTAGGACACTTTTTTAAAGTGAAAATATCAATGTTAATGTTCTTATGGTTTTATTTCACTATGTTTTTGTAATTGTTTTCTTTCTTTTTTCTCCATACACTGAAAAGTTTTTGTATTTATTTTTCTTCTTATCAAGTTTTAAATTTTTTCTGCTTAATTTTTATGAGATTGTTGTAGTATCTTTACCAGGTCATTATAGTTTCACTATATTTTTAACTATATTTTTATATATTTTATTAGTTGCCCGAAACTATAAAGACCTAATTAAAAATCAGAAAAAATTATAAAGATATGATAAAAAAATAATGATTAAACTCAGCTGAAACCATAAGAACCTGATTTAAAAAAAACTAGAGTTAAGGTGCCAAAAAAGGCCACCAACTTTCAAAACTACCCCAAATACCGTATACTTTTCTCATGTGCAAATTTACCTATTAATGTTCAAAAGCAGAGCAAAAAAAAAAAAAAAAAACCACTGCCATTAATCCCAGTTACATTAGCCATTAGAGAAAGAGATTTTGACTGAAAATGCTGATGTGGATGCACACGTGGCCATGCTTGATGTTTCGATGCTCTCTGTCAGTTATAAGCAAAAATCAAAAGTTAGAAAACACTAGTTGAAGTCCAGATGATGAGGCTAGGAGTGCTCGCTGGAGAAGAAGGTAGCAAGATCTGGGTATTTTGCACAAATAACGCACTTGATTCTTTATTTATTTATTTTTAGTGAAAATCTAGTTCTTTATGTTTTTTATTTGAGTTAAAATTTGGTTAGGTATTGGGAAAATTTTTCTAGGTATTTTGGGTGGAAGAAGCTATCGGTAATGCTGGATGAGCTTTACTTCTGTTTTTCACTTCTTCCATCTTTAATTCTTCAATCTTAGTTACGCTTCAGGACCGTTGATTGCCAACTTTTTTTATTCTTCAATTTTTTATTTTTCTATTTCAGTTTTTAATTACAACTTGATTTGACTTTGTTGATATGGGATGATTTTTTATTTGATTTATTGATTGTTGATATGCCTTGATCTCTATTCATACAATATGCTGCTGGTTTGAAGAAACATGATTATGTTGGGATGGGTGATCGATAAAAATAAGGGCGTTTTTGAGAAAGTAGAGAATTATGTTGACTTGGATACTGGCAAGGCCTGAAGTGAGGGACGTTAGGCTTGGGTAATGGAATTGTCATTTTTGCTCTGCTTTTGATCATTCATAGATAGATTTGCACCTAAGAAAAATATACAGTATTTAGTGTATTTTTGAAAAAAGTTGGTAGGTATTTTTATACTTCAACTCAAAAAACTACAAGGACCATCACTAACAAATTGTTGGTTGAAATGATAAACAGTCTCACTATCGTAAAAAGTAGAACACAAATTCAAATTTTAAGAAGCGTTCTTGTTGAGAAGACTTTAACCTTAAACGCTTCTAGCCTGACAGAAATTAGTCTCAAACCCAAAATGACATGATGATACTGTGAATTATAAAAAAGAAAAAACTACAAGGACCATTAAAAATTTGGTAAAACTATAGGGACATGGAGATTAAACTTTTCTTCTAAAACATTTGAAACATGTGCTCATGTTTTTTTTAATAAATTTTAAAAAGATAACACATCTTTTCTTATTCTAGGTATGATAATAATACAATATTTAAATTTTAAAAATAACTTAAGTGAGGTTATTTATATCCATTATGTTATATCATCTAACCACACATGGCCTAATAAAACATAAGATAATGTGTGATTAGAGAATTTGACAAAATGGATATAATAAACTTGATGTAAATATTATTCTTAAGTTTTTACATTTTGGACTTAAATATACTATAGATACCTTTTTAATCATACTACAAACATTTAAAAGCCTAAAAGAAAATAATCTGTTTTATAATTTATTTTAAAAAATTTTCATATCACATTTTCTCCTAATATATGATATATTATATTTTTTTGGGGCCAAAATATGATAGTATATTGTTATATTGCAAAGGAATTAGGGTCTTTCTTAATATAACAATTAACGAGCAAAAAATCGTTTCCATGCATTTTTCTGAACGCAAATGTTGGATTTTAAATGCAGCTTTATTCTAAACTTTCTAGTGGCCACCAAGGAAAAATAATTTCATGTTATAAAACACAACCGAGACAAATCAACACAAACTTAATTAATTATTTTATTTTCCCATCATCAAAATTTAATGAATATACTGAAAAAATATTATATCTTTTTCTGGAAAACATGGATACAATAATATTACCTTTGGCCTTTAATATAAGAGTCATTTATAAATTTAATTTGATTTTAAATATAAGACATCAATTTATTTTATTTCTCATATTTATCTATTTTGTCTTCAAATAATTATTATGATGACTGCGTATGTTAACCCATCAAAGGTAGTTCCAATATATATTATTATCACAAGTATTTCAAAAAAAATAACATCATTTTATTATAAATAACTAAATTAATTAATTTTTTAAAATTTTTATAATTAATTATTTAATAATGAAAAGTTGAAAAATGGCAGGACTCTGGGCCTTCTATTGATTGAAATTGGGCCTTTATTGTCCAAGTCCCACATCGCGGAGTTCCGGACGGTTCGGTCGCAAGACGCAGCGTAAATAATGAAGTGAGCAAATGTTGAAAATCACGCAGCCATGCAGTGAGCACAGAGCGAACTATTCTTTCGCCTTTTACTAAAGAATACCGTGTGCACGCTGCTTATAGTGGCATACGCCTATTTTTGAAAGGGACCCACCCTTGGTGGGTTTCTGCATTTCACTCGTCAATGTTTCTATGATTGGTTTAGCAAGTCTCAGTGTCTCGCATTATCGAATATTTTGAAGAAGTAGCGACATCTGATTATTTATAACCTTCAAGATAGATCAGGGAGGTTTGATCAAAGTAAAGATCTTTTCGATGTTGGGATTCAGAAAAAGGAGTGTACCAAGTTAAAAACGGTGAAAAAAATAGACCGAACCGGCCGGTTTAACAGGAAAATCAACCGGTGGTTCAGTCTGGTTTAAAAAATGAACCAGTATCAACCCAATCAAACCAGAGGATAAACCGATGCAAACCCGCAAAAACTGATTTGAATTATTATTTTGCTATTCATCCTACTTTTCTCATTCAACTCCTAATATTTTAGTTACTATATATTTGAATGAATTTTCATAATGATTTTGATATTAATAATTATTGATTTTAGTTGTTGATGAATCATAAAAATCAATATCCTAAATGTTATTGTATTTTGTTATAATTACAATCAAATTATTGTATTTCCTTATATTTTCTTATTAGTGATTATTAATGTTGTTGTATTTTGTTATTTATATTTAATTTTTATTATTTTAATGTTACCGGTTTGATCCTGATCTGACCCATTGATCTTTGAACCCCTACTTCAACCGGTTTAGTGTTTGATTTGATTATTTGTTCTTTGGTTAAAAAGACTCTGGTGGTCAACAATTCAGAATGGCAAAAGCCTGCCCTGCATGACCATGGAAAATGGAACTCTAATATGTGTGCTTGTACTCTTTTGGATCTTCTGAAAAGATTCCTATTTCTAGTACAGGTGTTTCTGAGATGTCAGTTTGGAAGGGTGATTCTTTGGGATGTTCTGCAACAGGAAATAGAGGGAAATGGAAATAAAAGGAAATTCTAGGGAATTTTATTCGTTGCAGAGGAAATTCTGACTAATCAGCACCTGCGAATGGATCAGCTTTTGTAGCTCTAGAACAGCTTGGTTTGAGGATGCAGAAAGTGATGCAGAACTGAGATGTTAAAAAAAGAATCTTCAAATAACATCATTTCCTGAATCAATATCATGCTAAAAATTTCACAAAATCAAGGAATTGTTAAAGCACATATTGGTTTATACAGAATACAATGTAAAACTTCCCCCACGTTTTCATGACATCATATTATTCTTTTTTTGTAATTAAATTTTTACGAAATTATTTATTATATTAAGTTTTCTAATCATACATGATTATGTGTCTTATTTTTTAAAATATTAATATTTAATAGCATTTAATTATAAATTCGTATGAAATGGGTAGTTGAAGAACTTGACATAATAGATAAAAAGAATTTGACCTAAGTTTTTTTTCTTTGATAAATCGGTGAAATTAAAACAAGCCTCATAATTTATATAGGTTCTTGTAAAATTATTCTCCAATGAGATGATTCAGATTATTCTAATTATATTTTTTTTCTCATAGGAACATTCTCTTACTTTGACTTTTGACCACCTCCTCGCTCTTAAAGTCCTAAGACGGAGCAGGCAAGTAACTTGCTCTCTTGGAGGCACCTTCGCCGTCCCATGTTTCCTTTTTACTACCAAATAAAAATGTCATTTTCTTTGAATCGGTTTTATTCTTTCATATTTTCAATTTTAATGCCAATTATCTTTTCATGGATTTTTTCCTGTTTGGCATCTTTATGACAAAACTTATGATCATGAAACGCTTTAACTTAAATGGCACGGCATTAGCATGCATAACTAGTTTCAAAATTTATGACACTTTTTTAAAGTGAAAATATCAATATTAATGTTCTTATAGTTTTATTCCACTATGTTTTTGTAATTGTTTTCTTTTTTCAAACACTGAAAATTTTTTGTAATTATTTTTCTTCTTATCAAGTTTTTAATTTTTTCCCCTTAATTTTTATGAGATTGTTGCAGTATCTTTATCAAGTCATTATATTTTTACTTAATTTTAAACTAGGTTTTTATGTTTTTTTTATTAGTCGCCTGAAACTATAAAAACCTAATTAAAAATAAAAAAATTATAAGGATATGATAAAAAAATAATGATTAAACTTAATTGAAACCATAAGAACCTGATTAAAAAAAACTAGAATTAGGGTGCAAAAAAACCCACCAACTTTTAAAAATACCCCAAACATCATATACTTTCCTCATGTGCAAATTTTCCTATCAATGTTCAAAAGTAAAGGAAAAAAAAAAAACCACTACTATTAGTCCTAGTTACATTAGCCATTAGAGAAAGAGATTTTGACTGAAAATGCTGATATGGATGCACATGTGGCCATAATAATATCCTACTCCTCCGGTCCTAATTATAAGACCCAATTGACTTATTTGAGGAGATTAAGGAAGTAAGTTAAGTTGGTTATTTATAATAAATAAGTGTTGCTATTCCTAAAATATCCTTGCTAATTAAGTATATTGGCTAAAACTATCATTATTAGAAGGATTATCTTGGAAAAAAATACATAAATATAAGAGAGAAAATGGATTGGGTCTTATAATTAGGACCAAATAAAAAGTCAAATTGGGTCTTATAATAAGGACCGGAGGAGTATTTGTTAGTAGAAAAAAATTAAAAATAAAAAACAATGCTAGCTAATATTATTGTATAATTTATTAATTTCAAAAATTAAAAAAATTTATGAATTTTCCTTAATGCCCTTCCCACTTTCCCTACCATTCTTCCATCTCTCCTGATTCCTCACCCTTACCCCCATCTCCCCATAACTTTCAAATCCTAGAGACCATGGTGGCATCCTACACCAATATTGGTGGCGGTGAAGGTGCAGACAAGTGCCCGTTTGGATCAACGATTGGAAAAGTAACTTATAGGAAAAGTAGTTTATGAAAAAGTGAGGTTGGTAAAAGTTAAATTGGATAAGCTAAATTGTATTTAGATTGGAGTTCAGAAAAATTAGTTTGTAAAAGTGAGATTAATAAAAGCTTGTTTGGATTATAGTTGAGTAAAAGTAAGTTTGGCTGAAAAATTATCAAAATAGGTATGAGTTTTAATAAATAATGAAACATGATAAAAAAATTGATTTCACATTATACAATGAAATTAAATAATTTAATATGAAGAAATCAAATTTAATGAGTGAATTAAATTTCTTGGTCAAAAAAAAAAAAGAGTGAATTAAATTTTAAAATTTTAAAGAAATCATAAAAAATATTTTAAATATAAAGTGAAACATGAAAAAAAAGAATTGAGATAATATAATGAAAAAGTGAAATTTAATGAGTGAATTAAAATTGAAAACTTTAGAGAAATCATAAAAAATATTTTAAATATAAAGTGAAACATGATAAAAAATAAATTGACATAAGACAATGAATTTAAATTAATTTAATATGAATCAAGTGAAATTGATTAAGTGAATTAAATTTGAAAACATCAGAGAAATGGAAAAAAAATGAAGCAAATAAAAGCGAAACATAATTTGAATGGATAAAAATGTTTTGAACTCCAATTTGTAGTATAGCGACAAAATGAAACGAAATAATAATATTACATGCTTAATTAAATTGATAAGCTATAGATAATTTGGTTTCTGATTGCATCACGAATGCGATTCAAAAGAATTTCACACATCAAAGCACAAATGATGTTCCAACTAATTAAAAGGAAATGTGATCCAAATATATAAATTCAATGAAAGCACATTTAAATTACCAAAATATATATTCGTTCTGTTTTTTTTTCAAAAATCTTTTTCTCCTCATGGAAAATGGCTAAAATAGGTGATGGAACAAAAAATAAATGGGGATAACACACTATTTCTATCTTTGGCTTCCTCACTCTAATAGTTCAATATTCTTCCTTACTAGCTTCAGTTTGCACCTCTCACGGGTGATTCCAATTTTTTAATGACCAACATTGCTCATGCTACTATCATTCTTCTTTGTTTTTTTCCTGTTAGATGCTCATACCAACCATTGCTCATACAATTTTTTTTCCTTTCAGATGCTCATGCAATGAAAAAAAATGCTAGATTTAAGGTTTTGATGATAACAAATTAGGTAATCTGTGTTTTGGTAAGTTGATCAATTAAGGGTTTATCGATCACTTGTCAGATAAATTCCCTGTGTAAACGAATAACTTAGCAAAAATATTAATCGATAACTTGATAGATAAATTAGTTTATATGTGTTGATAGATCAATTGATTGATCATTGTTAACACTGTTTTGAATAGAAGTCTGTAGAAAATTATCGATCATTTTATCGATAACCTAATGATTGAACAACTGTCAGATAATAGACACAATTTTGGTAAGTATTTATTGATCACTGGATCGATAAATAGGTCATCGATAAGAAGACAGATAAATGGTACAACTCTTTAAATTTGGTTATATTCTGTCTCTTTCATAATTTATTGATCACTTTATCGATTAGAGATTTTTTGATAACATGATCGAACATTGCTTAATAACCCACTTAATATATCCCTGTTCAAGGTTGTTATCTGGTTGATTTATCGATCACTTGATTGATCAGTGATTTATCTATCAAATGATCGATCATTGCTATCTTGCTCTATTTTTTTAAGTTATGTTTTTTTGATCACCTTATCGATAATCTAATTATTGATGAAATGATCGATCACCCATTTATTTGAATGCTTTGTTTTCACATAACGTGATCAATCAAACATTTCCTGGCATTTCAGAACTAAGTCTCTCTAATTATATTTTATCGATCACTTACTTGATCAAATATTAATCGATCACTTAATCGATCATCATTTGTTTTGTGCCCTTTGAAAAACTCTTTGTTAAATCTCTTTTATCGATCAAGTCTTCCATCATTCATTTGTCAATAAAGTACTCGATCATTGTTCCTTGAAAATTATTTTTATCTCACCTTGCTTTATTGATAGCTCGATCGATCAAGCAGTTTTTGATCACTTGATCAATCATTGACTCTTTGCAGTTAAACATCAACAAGTTACCATGATTCTCAAAATATATTTATTATTTCTCTTCGAGC